CAATCCTAAAATAAGAGCCCTCCAAACACAACTTCCAATCCATCAGGTCATATTGCATTTAACATGAATTAATCGTTTATATTTACTGAGAGCTACATGCCAAGGTGCTGTACATAATTACTTCATTTAATCCTATGGCAACCCCGTGAGGTATCTTACTATCTTGCTGCTACAGATGAGGAAACTCAACCAGCGTGAGTAAAGAGCCTGAGCTTATAACGTCTATGGTTCCTCACCCCCTTTTAGAGGCTGCTCCTTTTCACTAGCTCCAATACCAAGTGCTCTTTAAAATTAGCTTATGGACAAGTCTTTTAGGAAACCCTCTCTGCCCTTCCCCACCCCTCCTAACACCCACTGCATACCTCTCTCAGAGCACTTCTAACATTTTATTGTGATTATCTGTCAACCTACCTCCACTGCCTAATTAGATCACAAACTTCTCAAGAGCAGAAAACAGTTGTAGTCACTGTGAGACCCACAGCACCCAACACAATGCCTGTGGCTTAGGAGGTTTTCAGGGAATGTTCACTGAATTAAAGTAAAGCAAATGACATAGGTCAGTGGAACAGAATAGAGAGCCCAGAAGAAACCCTTGCATGTATGGTCAATTAATTCACAACAAAGAAGCCAAGAACATACAATGAAAAGAGGACAGTCTCTTTAATAAATAGTATTGAGAAAACTGGGCGGCCACAAGCAAAAGAATGAAGCTGGTCCACTATCTTATTCCATACCAAAATTAACTCAGAATGGATTAAAGGCTTAAGTGTAAGACTTGAAACCATAAACTCCTAGAAGAAAACATAGGCAGCGAGGTCCTTGACAACAGTCTTGGAGATATTTTTCAAATCTGACACCAAAAGCAAAAGGAACAAAAGCAAAAATAAATAAGTAGGGCCACATCAAACTAAAAAGCTTCTGCAGAGCAAAGGAAATCAATAACAAAATGGAAATGCAACCTACTGAATGGGAGAAAATAATTGCAAATCATATATCCGATAAGGTGTTAATATCCAAAATATGTAAAAAAAAAAAACTCATACAACTCAATAGAAAACAAACAACCCAATTAAAAAAATTTTCATTGAATAGACAATTTTCCAGAGAAGACATACAGATGGCTAACAGGTGTATGAAAAGATGCTAAACATCATTAATCACCAAGGAAATGCATATCAAAACCACAATGAGATATCACTTCACACCTGTCAGAATGGCTATTATCCAAAAAAACATGAAATAACAAGTATCAATGAGAATGTGGAGAAAGGGAACTCTTGTGCACTGTTAGTAGAAATGTAAATTGGTGCAGCCACTATGAGAAACAGTCTGGAGGTTCCTCAAAAAACTAAAAATAGAAGTACCCTAGGATCCAGTAATTCTACTTCTGGGTATTATCTGAAGAAAATAAAAACTAACTTGAAAATGTATCTGCATCTCCATGTTCACTGCAACATTATTTACAATAGCCAAGATATGGAAACAACCTAAGTGTCCATTGATAGATGACTGGATAAAGAAATTACGAGATACACCCCTGAAACACACACACACACAGAGGAGTATTATTCAGCCATAAAAAAGAATGAAATCTTGCCATTTGCAACATGGGTGGACCTAGAGGGCATTATGCTAAATGAAATAAGTTAGACAGAGAAAGACAAATACCATATGATCTCTTTTTCATTTGGAATCTGAAAAAAAAAACTCAGGCTCACAGATACAGAGAACAGATTGGTGGTTACAAGAAGCAAGGGGTGATGGGCAGTGGGAGAAATGGGTGAATTTATTTTTAGCTTAAAAAATTGAATTAAAAAAATTTTAAATGACCATATCTATGAACTGGTTACAGATTCATTCATTTGGATTATCTTCATAATCAGTAATGACTCTAGAACCAACAAGATTAAAAAGTAATGTTTTAAATCAATGGAAAACTTACTTCTGTCCCTCGTGTCTCTCTGTACACCCAGAACCCCTCACGCCTTCTTTTCTTCCTCTCTTCCTCCATTTCCTCACTCCTTATTTTTCTCACCTGTTCCTTTTTCTTTCAACTTAAAGGAAAAAACATCTTGTTTTACCTTATTTAAAGTCCTTTAAGCAATGAAGTCTTAGTAATATAAAATGTTCAAAATGTTGCAGTTTACTTTTATAGGAGTTTTTTAATTTATATACTATAATAATTTACACATATTACACTTATAGAATCTAGAACTAGTCCTGGTGAATCTTCATTTCATTGTGGAATCCAAAGACTGAGAGAGTAACCCAACCGTTCCCCATCACCAAAGATCAACTGATCCCCACTGAACTCATGGACAGCACAGATCCAGCCCATTTACCAGACTCTTAAACCTCTCCAGGGAATGAGATTCTCAAACTTAATATTCCACTGAGTGAAGGAAATCACCTTTCTTTTCCTAGTAAGGAAAACTATTGTTCATTTCTTATAACTCAAAAGTCCCTGATGAAATAGAAGCTCCCCCGCCCCCTTTTTTGGTTTTCAGCCAAGTTAAAGAACACTTGGAGAACAACTTCTAACACACACATGAAAATGATAACTTCCTTCTAGGAACTTCACAAAGGGCATCAAAGAGCAGCGTTGTCCATTCCCCCTGGATCCTACACAGAGCTTAATTATGATAACAAGATTTTAAAGATCAGGCCTGAATATTAGTAAGATTATCTGGCCATACACACATTTTTCTTTAGTTCCACCTCGGAATAGATATGAGAAGAAATGATCACTGCACTGACAAGGAAACTGAATTAAAAAAATAATAATAAAGTAAATCAAAAGGAGGGAACCCCTAGGCTAGCTCATTGCCCTTGTGGGCAACAAAACCCACGCCCAGAACTGAACTCCTTATTTCTTTTCTACTTTCCAAGAGTGTCTCAATATTGAAACTGATACCTTCTCTTTTAACATAAAAATTTCACACCCCCTTGAAAGTCACTAACATGCAAAAGATAACAGTTTTTAGCTAGAGTCTAGTTTCTGTATACCCTCACCAGCTAAAAGAACTTTGTTCAGATTTATTTTCTTTTTTAAAAATATTTTTCTTTTTTAATTATTGTGTTTTATTCTTTTTAAAACTTTTTTTGAGGGCAGAGGTAATTAGGTTTATTTATTTTTTTAATGGAGGTACTGGGCATTGAACCAAGGACCTCGTGCATGCTAAGCATGTGCTCTACCACTGAGCTATACCCTCCCCCCAGATTTATTTTCATTATTTCCTATTTCAACACACTAAGAATATTTTATTTTAAATGTGTATGTATGCACAATATTACAATACTGAAAGCAACGTCTAACTGCGCTCCTCCCCCATAGATCATCATCTGTTCCTCCAGGGAATCCCTGAGCTTCCTAGCTCTGCTCTGGCTAGATTCCTTCCTGGCGCAGATCTTTGAAACTTGTTTGGTGACCGGGCTTTCCCATAGACAATCAGCCTTCCAGGGTGATGAACTCCTGCCCCTGACATTCCCAAGCACCTCCCTCCCCACTGCTTCTCTCTTCCACTTTGTCTGGGCTCCAACTGCTGGCCAAAACACCAGGGCTGACTGCTAGAAGACCTGCTCATAGACTCTGCCACGCTCTTGGGTCCAGTCTGCCTTCCTACCCTGTACCATCCACCTCCCGAGCCTTGTCCACCCTGGTGGGCAAGTTTCATGCCAGAACCTGGCTCCTGCTGGCCCCTCCCTCCCTTCCCATTCCAAAGACATGACATGTTCCAATGACACTGAATGTCTAACAGTCTGACAGGACAGAGGCCTCTGCCTGGAGCAAGCACGTGGCATTCCCCACCCTGGGAAAACCTAACAGGACGAGGCTTGGCTGGGCTTGGTGTGCAGCCAGTTTTTTTCCTCAGAAGGTAGAGGATTCCCCAGAGGAACTGCCATTTTGGACTTAACTGTGACAAGGTTGAGGCGACTGATTGGTAGGACATCTGAGACATACTGTGTTGAACAAGAAATGGGCACTGTTCACAATCAAAGAGGCAGAGTAGGGTAGTGGAAGGAGCTTCAACTATGTGCTCGAAAAGACCCAGCAGAGAATAAATCTTTACATCGTTCTGTTTGCCTCCACTGTTTCAGGTTTTCATCTGGTCTCTGGGCAGCCAGACTCTGCGGCAAAGTCCCTGGCACAACTCCAGCGGGGAGGAAATTTCAGTCTCAAAGTTTCTCACCGCATTGCTTTTAAGACAAAGGGAAGACAGCATATTAGTAACCCAGGCCTGGCCCTTTTAGAAGTGCCTGCAAGAATGAGGCCCAGTGGGAAAGAAGATTGTAAGAAAAAAATTAATAAGTTACAGAAAAAAAAAAAAAGAAAGACCTCAGTTTAATGCCAACTTGGTGTGAACCTGGGCAAGTTATTTAACCTTTGTGAGTTCAATTTTCTCATTCATACAACAGGGATTCTAACCCTACTGCTTTTGTAGGGTTCCTGTCAAGATGAAACATGAACTGTGAACAGTGTGGAGCATGGAGGAGGGGACACAATAAATGCTCATCTGACCACCCTCCTTACCAGCACACAGGGTTTGATAAATGTTAAAGAGTTAGAGTTCCAAATGTTAAATGAAAACACGTGTTGGCTCCTGCGCTCAGAGACTCTAAATGGAAACCATGAGTGCTATGGTATCAATCACTGTAGGAATTTATTTTTTTGCCATTTGGATAATTAAATCTTTTATTATTTAAAAATTAATGGGTCATGAAGCTTAAAAGCTGAACAATTTATAAAAAACATATAAAAATGGCCCTTAGACATATTGCAAATATGTTTGATCTCATAATTAGAGAAATGTAAGTTTCAGTTACACAGAGATATAATTTCTCGTCTCTAAAACTGGTTTGAGAATAAAAAATTATTACCACTGTTGTTGAAGCTGAGGGAAACGGGCACTTGCATACATTTTTGGTGATAATATAAATTAGAAACCTCTTATGAAGGCTGTTTAGCAATATCTAATAAACATACATTTGAGGTTAGCGTTAAAAATATGTAATGCTTCACATATTTGCATGTCATTCTTGTGCAGGGGCCATGCTAATCTTCTCTGTATCCTTCCAACCTTGGTATACATGCTGCTCTGATTCCGGAGGCAGATACTTTTATCCTTATTACAGAGCACAGGAAACCAAGACTCAGAGGGGCTAAGTGACTTGGCCAAAGTTACACAATTATCAACATCACAATTTTGGATCTATCTCTGTGATTGTTTCAACCCAGCATGGTCAGAGTGTTACCTCATCCTTACCAGAAGCTCTAACTGGTAGTTACATATGAATTTGATTAATAGAAAGGAAAAATGAATAATTATTCAATAAATGGTTCTTACCCAATAGCAGCATTGGAAATCACCAGCATGAAGATGGACAGTATTTAAACAGGTCTTTGGCATTCTACAAAACAATTATCTTGGTCTCTTTGATAGGCAGTGCATTGAAAAACAGAAGCTGAGGTACAGTTTTTTAGATTAAAAGAGTCAAAAATGCAGTTTGCCACCTTGATTTTGGCTTTGAACAAATCAGCCTTAATAACATGTTGGAAACAAATTGGGGAATTTGAATATGAACAGAGTGAAGAAGACAATAAGGAATTATTATTCATTTTTTATGTGTGATAACAGCATTATCTTTTGAAGGAGAGTTTTTTTTTTGGTGGGAGGAGGAGACTGCAAATGATAAAATAAACTATTAGTGGTAAACAAAAAGTCAGATGTCTTTATTTGTAGGTAATTCAGCAAAACAGTATGTAAATAGAGGAAACATGGCAAAATGTTGACAATTGCAGAAGACAGACAGGTGGAAGATATACAGGTGTTTGTGTTACTAGTCCTGGTTCTCTGTGTATCTCAATGTTTGCATAATAAAACAGAGACTAAAGAAAAGGGCCTTAAGAACATTGATCTAAAGGGAGAGCTTTAGAGCCGCACAGTGGGGTTTGGCTCCTGACTGCTATTTACAAGGCGGAGAGAAAGACAGAGGACCAGAAAATCAAACTTGGGAGGACTAGCAATTGATGGAATCTAGATTCAAAAAGATGGTCACTGGCTGGAATCTAGCCAGAGGAACCTTAATAAGGAGGAATATAGTTGTGTATATAGGTTTTTAAAAATTAGCAGCCTGAGGAAAGCGGTCAGAACAGCAATTCTCACTGAAAGGACAAAAAAGGCTTTCATTGGCAGCAAGTCAACGTGAGAGAATGAAGTGACGAGGCTGCTAGGAACACAGAGGCCCTTTGGGTCTCGTTTCTGGAAGCAGGAGATCCTGGACAAGGAAGAGTGACTGTCACACGGCCACATACGGCCAGGTCATATCTGGAGTCTTAGATTCCACTCCAGGTGCCTTGTTTCAAGTGGCACTGGGGTGGGTGCAGAGAGGGCGACTAGGCCACGGCATGCTGGCCAAAGAACCTGGGGATTGTTAAGTTTAAAAAGACTAAGTGTAGCGGGGAAGGTACAGCTCAGTGGTAGAGCACATGCCTAGCATGTACAAGGTCCTGGGTTCAATCCCCAGCACCTCCACTAATACATAAATAAACAAACCCAATTACCTACCTTCCCAACAAAATTATAAAAATAAAATGTAAATAAAAAAGACTAAGTGTCAAAAAAGTCTACAAACAATACATGTTGGGAGGGTGTGGAGAAAAGGGAACCCTCCTACACTGCTGGTGGGAATGTAAACTGGTGCAGCCACTATGGAAAACAGTATGGAGATTCTCTAAAAACTAAAACTAGAGCTATCATATGATCCAACAATCCCACTCCTGTGTATATATCTGGAAAATGTGAAACTGTAACTCAAAAAGATACATGCACCCCAATGTTCACAGCAGCACTACTCAATGAAACATTCATGTGGTTCAAAATTCAAAGAGTAAATAAGGGTGCAGTATGGAAAAATCTCCTTCCTCTGCCAATTTCTGTCCTCCAGCCACTCAGTTCCACTCCTGAGAGCCGACTCACGTTAACCAACGTCTTCCCTGCTGCTTCGGCACATCTCACTCCTCATGTAATTAGCTCAGTGTGAGAGTCTACGAAGCAAGGGTTTCCTGACCCTCTCGCCATGTGACGTCCCATAGGATGGTCTTTGCTGCACAGGAAGGCCAGTCCCAAGAGGTTTAGGAACAAGTCTTCCTGGAAACTGCAAACACTTGTCGATGCCTGACTTCACTGTCCTGCCCTGCACTGACCAGGCAGTGAGACTGCATTGCCAAACACTCTGCAAAGAACCAGAGATAACATCCTGTGTGGGTGAATATGGCCGTTTGTCCTCTGACCAGCTTTCCTGACAAGGTCGCACAATTGCATCTCTGTTTCTATTCAGAGAGCTGGACGGTTGGTGTTACGGAGAGAGTTATTGCTGCAATCAGGGAGGTTCGGTTTAGAGTAGAAAGTAACTCATGCTTATTCCCTTACTGGCCTGCACAAGTGTGCACTTCGTGTGTGTGTGTGTGTGTGTGTGTGTGTGTGTGT